GACGAGGGATTCTTATGTTGCTACTTCACCTGCACTCCACAAACCCTCCACCCAAAACTATTTCTAAAAAGATAAGAGGATTTACACCGTACCATACAGTAACATCGGAATCCTAAAGCTGTAGGACTTATAATTGCATAGCATGATTGTGCAAAAGCCTAAAAGTGATATGTGAGGGTTTATATTGCGCTAAGCAAACCACCTCGAACTCCTATGGGTTGTTATTTAAACTAAGGAAAGTGATCGGTGATGTGAAAGTGTTTTGATGTTGATAATCCACCTTGAAGTTGTTCCTCGTCGTGCTGCTCACAGTATTCGCTCCAAAGCTCTTCGTAGTAGCACCTCCATGTTTGATGTTAATTCCTATATAACCACTAGGTTTTCCTCTAAGGCTAAGGTATAGTGTGTATCAAAGTAACAAAGCATGCAGTATAAAAGAAAAGAACAGTATAATGTACAGTAAAGAGAAAGAACAGTATAACATGCTGAAAGAATAGTATAACGTGCTAGGAAAAGCGCTATAACATGCTAGGAGAGTAATACAACATGTTAAGAAATAAAAATGTTGCAATGTAAATCACACCTGTAAATTTGAGAACTTTGTTGCTCCTTTAAGTTATTTATTATTCACTATATAAATAAAAGAACCGTTGCTTGGAAACTTCGAGAAAATTGGCAAATAATCCACGACGGAAAACTCAGGAAACTCGACGAGTAACAATTCAAATAAAACTCATCAAAACCTCGGGAAAATCCCGGAGAAAAGAGACCATGAATCTTAACATAACATGGCAATTTCAGTTTAGCATATTGAACTCCGAAAAGAGGGGACCGCAAGCACTCGGGTCGGGGCTATGCTCAAAATTATATATTTGTACTCGAGGGTCGTCAAAGGCTACTCGGTCACCTGGATGTATAAAGTCCGCCACTCCACTAGAAGGATATCCTACTAAACCTAACTTAGGAGGGTACTCCTTAGCCCATGATAGGTAATCAACAAGTGGACAACCCAATTGTAATATATTTAAAATTTAAGTTTTAGCATGCATATATATTTCAAGCATACAATAGAAAAGTCATATCAATTTTTGTAGTGAAAATATTTTTTTAATAAATATTGTATTTGTTCTTATCAATTTGTTTTATAAATTTTAAAAGGTATAGTTGTCCACAAGTCGATCACGTCATCGGGCTTAGAACTACCAACAACCTAAGAAGGTGCGGGTCCCCTCCTAGTCATATGTCGGTGAATCATACTTTCATCCTACAGTTCATCAGGTCCTAGAATTGAGTCTTGGTGTTGTAGGATGAGATATCATTCTGTTTTACCACTGACGTGTCTTTGTCATCATCGCCCTACGCCCCAAAACAAAACCGACCTACTTGCGACCTTGTTTGATGGTTTCACATATAGCAAAAGGCTATAAATGAGTACTTATGTATCAGACATAAGCACAAAAAACCAAACCAAGAAGGAAAGAAAAGAATAAAAATGGAGATGGGAGAGAGGAGAAATTGATCCACCCAAAAGATCGAAGGAATAAGGGTGAAGCAATCCTCAAAGTTATATAAAAAAGATCTAAAAATAGAGCCCAAGATCCTTGAATAAATCCAAGAAGGATATCATTTTCTCAACTTTTTATAATTGGATCAACCCATGAAGGGTATCCTTTCCAAACGTTATTTTGAATCAAATCGAAACAGGCCCAAAAGCTAAGGTGAAGACTATACTCATGGCTTCCCCCACCTATATGCACTCACACCCAAACCTGAAATGTATATCGTTCATATTTTTCCAAATTTTTAATCTCAAACAAAAAAAACTCCCAAACTCCTCATGAAGCCAACTCATATCAACTTTCATAATTTCCTGAAATAAAGCCATAAAAGCCTTTTATATTTCACAAACCAGGGAGAAAATTCAAGAACATCAGCCTTCTAAACCTCCAAAAAGTTGTGCCCATGTCAAGCATATCAAAATCTTTTAATTCCACCCCTTCGTTAAAATCTTACCACAATTATATAAATGTAACATTAATTTAGAAATTATAGAAATGCTCATGGCCGGGGCAAAATGGGCCTAAATAATCTTCAACAGGCTCGCGGATAAGTCCAGAAAAGAGAGTAGAGGGTCACGGGTAAGGCCATAAAACGCACAACCAAGTTCCAACTAGCTAACGAAAAGGAGTCATCACCAAACAGCTCACAACCGAGCATGGCAAGGAGGAACCCAACACAAAACAAACCCACGGGTAGGGGCAAAGAAGAAAAAGACTTCCACCTACTAAGCTCATGGGTAAAGGGCAAAGACGAAGGCCACAAGGGCAACACACACCAAGTAAAGCTCACGACCAAGGTAGCAAAAAGAAAACCACCATAGGTATTGCCAATGTATTGTCTTTGATATACATAAGAGAGTGAATGGACAAGCTTTCAAAAATTATTCAAACCAAACCCAATTTCATCAGGTAAGACATAATAAAAATTTGCCCAATTCATTTTGAACACCTCACTCTATAGGTAGATAGTGAAAATATTTTGGGATGACAAACTTGATTGCAAATATCATATCTTAAGAGAAGCATCGAAGAAGAACACCCAACCAAGACATATCCAATCAAAAAGCTCAAAACAAGCCTATACCGAGCCAATAAAAAGAACTAACCCGAGCCCAAGCCAAGGGCAAATTAAGTCCAGACAAATGGGGAACCAACACGAATATATCCAACACTTATATTTTTGAACGGCATAAAAAAAAATCTGCGTAAAAAAAAATCTGCTCAAGATAGGCAAAACCGAAAGGCATAGGAGCCAAACTCAGCCCAATATGGGGAGCAAAAACTGAGAGGCGTAAGGACGAAAAAAATAAAGCCACGTCTCCATTTATACTCTTATCATTTATGCATTTTTTAAAGGAACTAAAGCTCAGCCCAAATCCATGACAAAATCGTGAGGCATAAGGGCGAAAAAAAATAAAGCCACATCTCTATTTATACTCTTATCATTTATGCATTTTTGAAAGGAACTAAAACTCAGCCCAAATCCATGACAAAACCGTGAGGCATAAGGACGAAAAAAAAATAAAGCCACATCTCCATTTATACTCTTATCATTTATGCATTTTTGAAAGGAACTAAAACTCAGCCCAAATCCATGACAAAACCGTGAGGCATAAGGAAGAAATTCAGTCCAATCATAAGGAGAAAATCGAACCCCATAAAAAGCAAAATTCAGCCCAAGTCTACCACAAAAAGATGTTCTCAAAGGAGCCAAAACCGAAATCCATAAAGGCTCAAAACAAAGAAATTTTCCAGCACATATTAAATCCCCAAGCAGCCAAGTATTCCTTGGAGCTTCATGTCTTCTAAACCATGGAAGTCTTCCTTGGACGCACAATGGTGCTTTGCAGGTTATCCAGTCAATCATTAAAATTATTTTATTGACCTTATCGGATGGAAATCAAAGATAAATGAAGGGAGTAGCATAATTGGAAGTTAGAGGACAGAAATCATAAGATGAAAAGGGGAAATTCGATAAAACAGAAAAATAAAACTATCAAAGAGGATTACCGCAAGTGGTATTGTCCTCACCTGAGAAAACGTGGATAAGGAGTTCAACTCCCACCTTGACATATTTCCAAAAATAATGGGGGAAATAAAAAGATATAGAAAATTTAACATGCAAACTAAGTTAATTATTAACCTTTCCAGACACTAAATCAAAACCTATTTTAGACTGTAACAGAATCTAACATTTAATAATGGTAATTCAACAATCTGTTATGCAAATTTAATCATCACTAAATCAAATATCCCACCAGGATCAAATTCAATATCAAGCTCATATAAATTCCATTGATGAGATTGCCAGAAAAAAAGGGGAACAACATCTGAGCTATTTTAATGTATGAAGCCCATATTCAGCGTATTTGCAGATGAAGAATCTATATGGAATTTTTTTGACCAGTTTTGAGCATGTTAACAGCAAACTGAGCATCAAAAATAATTTCATGACATGAAATAAACTGACATAAGTTTCCTCGTTACGTATGAATAAAATGTTAATTTGAAATGACGCAAACATAGTAAAACAGTTTTCATAACAGAATGGAAAAGTAAAAAAAGGATTGAATAAACTGTCCGAAAAAAATATTGAGAAGCACGCCGGAGAGCAATTTGCTATGAAATTCAATAACAATCACTGAAAAAGACAAAGAACTTCTTATATAAGTAATTTAAATATTAAGCATATCAAAGAAATGACAAAAAAAACTTACATAATGCTAAAAAAATACTCCTAACAATTTCTGCACTGAACCCTAAAACGATCCACTTATAACATGTACGTCCATTCAACAGATTTTCAACCAAAGGAGAACCTATTTGTGCATTCCAACTTACAAAAAACCCCAAGTTGCAATACAACAGCTACCAAGATGTTAAGCAACTCAAACTAAATGATGAAACCGAGTAGAAGAAATTTTAATGATGGGATGGTAGAACAAAAGCTCCTTATGTGTAACATATGTACATGGACTAAATAACTGTAGGAAAATATTTAGAAGCGCATTGAAGAGTGCTCTGCTATTAAATCAATAAAGAAGACCTTTCTATATATATGAGAATATTTCACGGCTGATTCAGCACCATGTCGAGAAATGAGAATATGAGATATACGCTACTATTTGTCCATAAACACAAATAACTCGCTTAGATAGCAATCCACAGTTTTAGCGTCGCAAAAAAAGAGCAATAGAATCATACACGATACAAAAAACTCCCAACAATCGCCACACCGAATCCAAAAAGCTTCCACTACTAACAGAATTTCGAACAAAGAAAAACCTGATTTACCTCTCCAGGTTAAATTAAAAACTATGTAGCAATAAAAAAACTACCAAAAAAGCCACATCTCGCTAAGGAAAGAAACGAATAATCAAACCAAGGGAAAGA